ATAAATTTATTATAAAAATAAATATTATAAAAATATCCTCGTCGGAAGACGCCTCTCCGCCTAAATCTCCGTCTTAGTTCTCCACTACATCGAGCCGAATCCGTTTGCGTAAATTATAATGGCTTTTTGGCACTTTCAATACAAATTTCACACTCTCGAAAACCACACAACAGACACAGCCGGGTCACATTGACCCGAGTTCTTTTTCGACCGACGCTCACCGGCTACTGAGGGCTCGGGATCGCGAGGAAATCATCCACAGCTATAGTTCAATTCCTCGACTGCCACCAGAAGGCCATGAAACCGCCGTTATTTGAATTGCCAGAAAGATATAAGCGTTCAAACTGAAGCAACGGGTCACATTGACCCATAGTGTCGAGGAAGGGTTAAATTATTAGGGATCTTTTTTTGATTAGATGAACATTTAAAGATTAATGTTATTCGGGTCGATCGCTAATGCAATATCGTCTACGTATCTCATATAAAAAATAAGTTTTATTGTTAAACTTTCTAATTGTAAGCAATTGGTTTTTAATTCTTGTAGTACCAAATCTGCTATGGTGGATGATAATGGGGAGCCCATAGGTACACCATACGTTTGTTTATATATTTTATTATTAAAACTGAAAAAGGAGGAATCTAAGACTGATTGTATGGCAATCATAAATTCTTTCTTATTTAAAATTGTGATTTTTTCTATTTCAGTCCACCTAATTATTAATACTAGTAATAACTAAATCTATTGGAATATTAGTAAATAGAGATATTACATCCAATGAATGTAATTGATCTTCATTTTTAATTTGTAATTTATGAATATTTTTAGTGATTTGAAAACTATTATAGTAACTGCATATTTGTTTTTAGGTAAACTTTGTTTAAGAATGTGATGCAAATAAGTGGCAAAATTATGTAATGGACTATCCGTGGATGAAATGATGATACGTAGAGGATTGTCAACTTTGTGTACTTTAGGAACATCACAAGTACGTGGCAAAGAATTTGTTGTATTAAGTCATTTGTAACTGTTGTCATTAATGAATTTCTTTGATTTCCACATCTTTTCAACATCTCTTTCAGTTTGGAGATCAATCTGTTAACCGGATTTTTAGTATATAATAAGTAAGTATTTTCGTCTCTGAGTAGATTTTCCATTTTTCTTATATAATCCCGTTTATTCATAGCCACCACAATATTACCCTTATCTGCATGTGTATAAATGATTTCTGTGTTATTCTTAACTAAGTGTTTGGTAATATTGTACGTGCTACATATATGTTTTTCTAATTTAGATCTATTGAATCTAATATTCTTAATGTAAGATATGAAATTATATCTTAATTCATTAAAATTTAGTTTATTATATTTTCTTATGTTATTTTCAATGTTTTTTATTAAATTAAAAGTTATTGTTTTTATATTATTAGTCGATAAACAGAATTTTTCTCCAAGCTGCAAAAGTGCCTGTGCTTCATTCGGTATAGATATGTTTTACTTAGGTTGATAAACCATTTTTTGTTAATGTCACTAAAATTATACTTAATATGTTGATAATTCAAAGAATTAATCTAAATAGTATAATGATTGTTGAAAATGTTGATGCAACATATGTTGGTCAAACAAGCAGGATTCTTAAAACTAGAATTACGGAACATAGAAATCATATCAACTGGAACACCCAACAAAAATCGGTTATCACAGAACATAGATTGAAATTCTCTTGTGGCGATTGCATAGCCACAAAAGATAAAGATTTTAGAAAAGCATTATCGGTTAGATACACACACGAATACACGAACACATGACTAGCATACATACAACGAGAAACAGTTAGACGCGAGAGTAAATAGAGAAGGAACCAGTTAAAGCAATGAATTTCTTGCGACCGTTTTTCCATCTGTTTGGGAATACGCGTCGCAAGTGAATAGAATAGGTCGACTAAATATAGACTTGAGATGCATAAATTAGGTTTATGTAAATTATGTATAGCTTTATTAATTGTATGTCATTGTTTCACGAGAAAAGATTGTAGCAAGAAAAATGTAATTTAATTTATTATTTGAATTTCAACGACGATAACAGCATTAAATACATGCGGAATAATATTTACGAGAAATAGAAATTGCGAGAAAGAAAAACGGGCGAGATGCGAAGGCGAAACGATACGAAAAGAAACAGTCGCTGAGCTGACGGGTTTTGACACAGTCGATCAGCTGACGCTTAGACACTCAGTCGTTTTCGGAGAATTGTCGAGCGAACTCGAGGAAGTGTATATTTCCGCGACTAGACAAATAATTGATGTCGCGACCGTATTACACGTAACTGTAACTGAGCGTTTATAAGTTAGTACATCTATTGTCTCACGCGCTTATAAAATTAATTTTAATACATTGACGACTTATAATTATTGCTTTGCATATTTTTATTTTGGTGACCTTATATTCCGTTATACATCATCTCTTATTTCCCGCGCTCCTTGATACTTACTGACGGAGTTAATAAAGGAGAAACTAAAGAAGTAAGGGATAAACTAAACTCATCTGAATTTGACTGGGATAATGTTGAAATACTTGACGAGGAGATAATTTTAAATAAAAGACTCATTTCTAAAATGTTGCATATACCATACATAGATAAAAGAATAGTTTAAATTTGCAGACGGACACGGATTTACTTGACAAAGTATATGATTGTTTATTTACTAATAATTGATTTCCATATTTTCAATAACCTCTCATTAACTTTCAACTGTCGCAAATTTATATTATGTACTAAGTAACATTATCGCATGAACATTTGACATGATAACTCGTTTTATTGCTTCTTCGTTTCGCATCTGACATATCATGTAAGTCATTATACTTTTTATACTTTACACTGTTCATTTTACTTATTATCACATTACTATATTTTATTATTTTATTATATTGACTTTGTATCACTCATCTATTATTATACCTATTGTTATTTTATGAACTCAAATTACCACATTGTTATAGTTATAATTTTATTATATGACATCGAATTGCTTATTATTCTTTAATTCTTTGTATCATACTACTGATTATTAAGTTTGAATTATATTGTACAGTGTTCCAGATAGCACTTTGATATTAATTAGATGTACATATTGATAAGGATCCGAATCAGGATCGAAACGTATTCAATTTCAATAAAGGATTTATTATATCACACACCAAAATCTTGTGCAGACTCGAATGGCATTACACCTCATATTTTAGATTTAATCAAATGAGTCGTTATAACACATTATTTATATTACCTATCTAATTTGTTTATACATGTCTTTGTTTAGATAATATCAAGAGTAACTTAAAGAGACAATTAAACACTGATA